ACAAATTGACGGGTTGAGGCCGCCGTTGTAGCACCTCAAAATAAGACTGTTTTTGAATTCCAGATTGGGGTATTGCTAAATATTACGCATGCACTCCATCTGGTGGGCGTGTCTGTCTTTGTCAGGCCCCTTTAGGGACCCATATCCCCTTTGTCAGAGGAAGGGTGGGACGACCTCGCTGTACCTTTTCCATAGACCCTTTTTTGGTGATTTAATTCCGTTTTGATTGATGTGGCCGAGACAGATAGCGGTCAACACACGGGAAGACTTTGATGCAGACTTGGTATTCCTCAGACCCCACAACCCAGTTTGTGTGTGTACTCGTAATGACGAATTTTACTTTTATGGTAACCTCAATATTCTCCCATCGACAGCTTTAATCTCCGCCAACACCTCTAATCCTACCGGAACACCTACCTTGTCCCTTTAAAGTCGCACTCCAACAAACACAGACGTGTGTGTATAGACTAGTAAAGAGCTTATATTTAACTTGTTTATCTAATGCTCACTTGTACACATTACGGCTATTTCGAATAAAAAATTATCTCAGAATACGGTTTTGTGGTTTTTTATATAAACATTACTTATTTATTGTTGAATTTGCAGATGTATTAATGTTGTAGCCCGTGATTAAAGTTAGGAAATACGAACGTATAGTAGGAAGATCCAAAGGTCAACATATACTAAGCAGAGTTCGGTAGCAGTAGACAATAAGGAGCGACCAAGGACTCTTGACTTTAGCTTGAAATATGTCTTACATAATGATAAAAAAAATCCTTCTTTTCTCCAGAAACACAGCCAGTCGTCCAACAGTTCTAATTGTTGACGGGGTTATAGTTTTAATTGTTGACCGGTCAATAGTTTAAATTGTTACCTAACTCGCTATATAAATGCATAGTATTCAATCATAAATTTAAGCACCCCAGGCCTCTTGGTTATTCAGAAGAAGTTGCGTAAATGTTTTAAACATATTTGACCCCTGTGACCTGGAATATAGGTCAAGGTCATATATTTGAACACACTTAGTAGCCCTTCATCCCAGCATGTTACTGGCTAACTATCATCACTAGGCCTCTTGATTATTCAGAAGAAGTTGCGTAATGTTTTAAACATATTTGACCCCTGTGACCGTGAATATAAGTCTAGGTCATTTATTTGAACAAACTTGGTAGCCCTTCATCCCAGCATGTTTCTGGCCAAATATCATCACCCTAGGCCTCTTGGTTATTCAGAAGAAGTTGTTTAAATGTTTTTAACATATTTGACCCCAGTGATCTTGAATATGATTCAGGTCATTTATTTGAACAAACTTGGTAGCTCTTCATCCCAGCATGTTACTGGCAAATTATCATCACTAGGCCTCTTGATTATTCAGAAGAAGTTGCGTAATGTTTTAAACATATTTGACCCCTGTGGCCTTGAATATAAGTCAATGTTATTTATTTGAACAAACTTGGTAGCCCTTCATCCCAGCATGTTACTGGCCAAATATCATCCCCCTAGGCCTGACGGTTATTCAGAAGAAATTGATTAAAGTTTTTAAACATATTTGACCCATGTTACCTTGAATATAAATCAAGATCATTTATTTGAAAAAACTTGGTAGCTCTTCATCCCAGCATGTTACTGGCCAAATATCATCACCCTAGGCCTCTTGATTATTCAGAAGAAATTGTTTAAAGGTTTTAAAAATATTTAAACCCTAAGACCTTGAGCATAAGTAAAGGTCATTTATTTGAACAAACTTGGTAGTCCTTCATCCCAGCATGTTACTGGGCAAATTTAAGCACCCTAGACCTCTTGGTTATTCAGAAGAAGTTGTTTAAATGTTTTTAACATATTTGACCCCAGTGACCTTGAATATGATTCAAGGTCATTAATTTGAACAAACTTGGTAGCTCTTCATCCCAGCATGTTACTGGCCAAATATCATCACACTAAGCCTCTTGGTTATTCAAAAGAAGTTGTTTAAATATTTTAACATATTTAACCCCTGTGACCTTGCAAATAGATGAAGGTCAGTTATTTAAACAAACTTGGTAGCTCTTCAACCCAGCATGCTTTTGGTCAAATATCATCACCTTAGGCCTTTTGGTTACTGAGAAGAAGTTGTTTAGAGTAAAAAATTGACGCCAGACGACGAACGGACGACGGACGACGGACGACAGACGACGGACGGACGAGGGAAGCCGCACCAGGCCTTCGGGCCAGGTGAGCTGAAAATAGCAGTGGATAATAAAAATATTACTATTTATAACTGTAGCTCAAGTATAATAAAAATAGCAGTAGATATATAGAATATTACCATTATTATCATTAGCTCTAGTATAACCAAAATAGCAGAAGATAAATATTACCATTTATAACAGTAACTCAAGTATACCTAAAATAACAGTAGATAAATAGAATATTACCATTTATATTAGTAACTCAAGTATAACTAAAATAACACAAGATAAATAAAATATTATCATTTATAACGGTGGCTCAAGTATAACCAAAATAGCAGTAGATAAATAGAATATTACCATTGATATCAGTAACTCAAATATAACCAAAATAACACTAGATAAATAGAATATGACCATTTATAACAGTGGTTCAAGTATAACTAAAATAACACAAGATAAATAGAATATTATCATTTATAACGGTGGCTCAAGTATAACCAAAATAACAGTAGATAAATAAAATATTATCATTTATAACGGTGGCTCAAGTACAACCAAAATAACACTAGATAAATAGAATATTATCATTTATAACGGTGGCTCAAGTATAACCAAAATAACACAAGATAAATAGAATATTACCATTTATAACGGTGGCTCAAGTATAACCAAAATAACAGTAGATAAATAGAATATTACCATTGATATCAGTGGCTCAAGTATTACCAAAATAACAGTAGATAAATAGAATATTTCCATTGATATCAGTTACTCAAGTATAACCAAAATAACAGTAGATAAATAAAATATTATCATTTATAACGGTGGCTCAAGTATAACCAAAATAACACAAGATAAATAGAATATTACCATTTATAACGGTGGCTCAAGTATAACCAAAATAACACAAGATAAATAGAATATTACCATTTATAACGGTGGCTCAAGTATAACCAAAATAACAGTAGATAAATAAAATATTATCATTTATAACGGTGGCTCAAGTATAAACAAAATAACACAAGATAAATAGAATATTACCATTTATAACGGGGGCTCAAGTATAACCAAAATAACAGTAGATAAATAGAATATTACCATTTATATCAGTAGCTAAAATAAAACCAAAATAGCAGCAGATAAATAGAATATTACCATTCATATCGGTAACTCAAATAAAACCAAAATAGCAGTAGATAAATAGTATATAACCATTGATATCAGTAGCTCAAATAAAACCAAAATAACAGTAGATAAATAGAATATTACGATTTATATCAGTAGCTAAAATAAAACCAGATTAGCAGTAGATAAATAGAATATTACCATGTATATCAGTGGCTCAAGTAAAACCAAAATAGCAGTAGATAATTGTAATATTACCATTTATATCAGTAGCTCAAATAAAACCAAAATAACAGTAGATAATTGTAATATTACCATTTATATCAGTAGCTAAAATAAAACCAAATTAGCAGTAGATAATTGTTATATTACCATGTATATCAGTGGCTCAAGTAAAACCAAAATAGCAGTAGATAATTGTTATATTACCATTTATATAAGTAGCTAAAATAAAACCAAATTAGCAGTAGATAAATAGAATATTACCATTGATATCAGTAACTCAAGTATAACTAAAATAGCAGTAGATAAATAAAATATTACCATTTATATCAGTAGCTAAAATAAAACCAAAATATTAGTAGATAAATAGAATATTACCATTTATATCAGTAGCTAAAATAAAACCGAAATAGCAGCAGGTAGAAATAATATGACCATTTATATCAGTAGCTCAAATAAAACCAAAATAACAGTAGATAAATAGAATATTACCATTTATATCAGTAGCTAAAATAAAACCAAAACAACAGTAGATAAATAGAATATTACCTTTTATATCAGTAGCTAAAATAAAACCAAAATAACAGTAGATAATTGTAATATTACCATTTATATCAGTAGCTCAAATAAAACCAAAATAACAGTAGATAAATAGAATATTATCATTTATATCAGTGGCTCAAGTATAACCAAAATAGCAGTAGATAAATATAATATAACCATTTATATCAGTAGCTAAAATAAAACCAAAATAACAGTAGATAATTGTAATATTACCATTTATATCAGTAGCTAAAATAAAACCAAAATAGCAGTAGATAGATATAATATTATCATTTATACCAGTGGCTCAAGTATAACCAAAATAGCAGTAGATAAATAGAATATAACCATTTATATCAGTAGCTAAAATAAAACCAAAATAACAGTAGATAAATAGAATATGACCATTTATATCAGTAACTCAAATAAAACCAAAATAACATTAGATAAATAGAATATTACCATTGATATCAGTGGCTCAAGTATTACCAAAATAACAGTAGATAAATAGAATATTACCATTTATATCAGTAGCTAAAATAAAACCTGAATAGCAGTAGATAAATAGAATATTACCATTTATATCAGTAGCTAAAATAAAACCAGAATAACAGTAGATAAATAGAATATTATCCTTTATATCAATAGCTCAAGTATTACCAAAATAACAGTAGATAAATAGAATATTACCATTTATATCAGTGGCTCAAGTATAACCGTAAATAGCAGTAGATAAATAGAATATTACCATTGATATCAGTAACTCAAATATATCCAAAATAACAGTAGATAAATAGAATATTACCATTTATATCAGTAGCTAAAATAAAACCTGAATAGCAGTAGATAAATAGAATATTACCATTGATATCAGTGGCTCAAGTATTACCAAAATAACAGTAGATAAATAGAATATTACCATTTATATCAGTAGCTGAAATAAAACCAAAATAGCAGTAGATAAATAGAATATTACCATTTATATCAGTAGCTCAAATAAAACCAAAATAAAAGTAGATAAATAGAATATTACCATTTATATCAGTGGCTCAAGTATAACCGTAAATAGCAGTAGATAAATAGAATATTACCATTGATATCAGTAACTCAAATATAACCAAAATAACAGTAGATAAATAGAATATTACCATTGATATCAGTGGCTCATGTATTACCAAAATAGCAGTAGATAATTGTAATATTACCATTTATATCTGTAACACAAATAAAACCAAAATAGTAGTAGATAAATAGAATATTACCATTTATATCAGTAACTCAAATAAAACCAAAATAACAGTAGATAAATAGAATATTACCATTGATATCAGTAACTTAAGTATATCTAAAATAACACAAGATAAATAAAATATTATCATTTATAACGGTGGCTCAAGTATAACCAAAATAACAGTAGATAAATAGAATATTACCATTGATATCAGTAACTCAAATAAAACCAAAATAACACTAGATAATAGAATATTACCATTGATATCAGTGGCTCAAGTAAAACCGTAAATAGCAGTATTTGAATTGTTACTGTAGATAGTATAGGCCTAGTACACATTACGTTAGATACATGTAGCAGTGTATATTACCATATACATTTTTTATAATAGAAGCGACTGTACGAATCATAGTCATTTCCATATTACATTAGCAGTAATACTCCATTCTTTGTTTTCAATACTGATATCTTTATTAGCTTTTGAATTTCATGCTTTCAGTCACCAACTCCATTACCAGGTAATATCATTTAGCAGCTATCTTCCAGGTACGGGTAGGCTGCCAGGTGCACGAAATGCCCGTGTATATGATGCACGTGCTGCGCGTGAAGCAGTCGATAAATTGTATTTAGGATGATTATTGTATTGACAACATTGTAGAACGTCCAATTAAGTATAAATTTGTCATCACCGCCCGGACAGGGTTAATGGCAGAGGTCCACTTCAGTCTTCCGTCCATAGGGGAACCAGTGATCATATTATACAGACACTCTTTGTCCTAAACCTCAACATGAGAAACACAAACAGGAATTAAAAGAGAACAGACAATTAATGAACAAAATATTTATTTTTTTTGATATTTTTAAAATTCACGCAATTGAAAGATCGATACATTGTATTTGGTCATACACAAATAACGCCGTGTTTCTGGTATATTTACTTCCTGGGGCAACTTACCGTATATAGGTAAACGTGATCCTTTATCAGATAGTATATTGTTTTAAATATCAAACGGGCATCAAATTCACAATGCTTTGTCAAAACTACCCGTAAAATCGTCTAGTTAGAAAACACACAATAGGAAATTTTAAACATAAATATATATTATTTGGTCTTATATCTGTCCAAGTACTGACGTTGATGAAAACAAAATCCTTCACACTGTTCATCAATACAAGTATGAAAAAAAACTTGTTCTGGATTAAATAAACACACCATCTGATTCAATGGGGACTAATGTGGCTCATAAATGAAATCTAAAAAATAGAAAGAGAACGTGAATGTGGATGTGCTGTAATTTATAAGATTATTTTGACTAATTGCAGCTTTTGAATAATTATATGTAGTGTAGGATTATCGATGTATTATTAATTCACACCATCTCTATTATGTACAAAGAAAGACATTCCGAGTACACGTAGACTACAGAGGGCGTGTCGGCTGAATATCTTTGATGGAGAGCGTCTGAGTTTTGACTACACAAGATGTAGCAATGGCACGAAATAATGATGTCTTTACTACCTGTTACTGTGTTGATGGAAACATAAACAAATACAAGTCTAGTATACTACGCACTTAATTTCTTCAAGATTACAGAGCGGTGCCAATCCAAGTCACAAAGAAGTTTGTGTCTTGCAGGGTTTTTGTGGTCAGACTGAAGACAGGTGTTAAGCGGTGGGGACAGTGTCATTATGACGTGTTTTGACGATAACTGCAATGGTCAAACGCGATCAGTATGACGTGATCACCTCGTCAATGGTCGTTAGAGACACTGGACAATACATCAACATCCCAGTTTACACCCCGTGACAAAGCCGTTCTGCCCGACCCGCCATTAGTGGTATAGGTACACGACCGGACGAATTACCACAGACGGCCACCCGTATCCAAATGAACCCTAATAAAATTTCTCTTCTCGTCCGTCTGACAAGGTTCTTTGTGGAATACATCCATCCTGACATTTATCTTCAATTTCCTTAATATGGCACCCGCGTACTCCAAGGTAAGCGCACGTGCACGACATTAGTCGATCCATGGAATGGTGTGCAGGGCAGGTGCGCGCTATACGTTGCCAGTGTCCTTAATGGCGGCTATTAATTATACACATCAATGTTTTCGTTACTTGTCATATGGAAAACTGGCCAACATAAGAGTAGGACAAAACAAACATATCTGTAATCACGGATATTGCCGATAAATACCTCCATCCGGGTGGCTGTAAATGAGTGTGGAACAGCTTCCTGATAACAGCCTTTGTCATTAATCTTATAAACGTATTTTGTGGTGGTTGCAGAATAAGATATATAAGGTATTTCATAGAAAACCACAGAATATTTTATTCAATGAGGATTTTTGTATACGTCTTAGTTTTAGCTAAATTCAGTTTAATGAAGAAATTAATCATGCAGATCTACCGTGAAGGATTAGGCGCAAGTTTTACAGAACATCGGGAATGTCTTTTATTTTATATAAATATCTTTCATAAACCATTTATACAATTTCAAACTATTACTTTAAGGAAAAGCACTAATTAAAACAGTTCTCATGGATATAGTACCTGCCACACTTCCATGTTCTCAGATAGCTTTGACTCTGATCAAATACAGCATTGTATTAAGTTACATAAACAATCGTTGTCATCAATATAAATATTTGTCTGTACAAGTAACAATAAAGGGCACGGCGCTGTCTAAAACCAGAAGATGTTTTGCTAACAAATGTATGTCTGTGGTTTTGTGTTGATAGCCAGCGTACATTTAAGCTGAAGTGTAACATCCTCTGTCGGATAGATTGTACACCACGAGTTCGATGAGACTGAACCATGTGTTTTCTGTACTTAATTGGAAAATGGAAATATGGTTGTATGAAGACAGAGACACAGTCCGCAGCTAGTCAGCCGCCGTGTCATTTAATGACTGGAAAATGCTTTCGTGCTTGGGAATATTTAGGACCATTTCCGGACTCATTATTTTGTAACGATAAATTCCTGACAATATTCATACGCAGGTTGTTTCAGTAAGGAAATTATAGATGATAAAAACAACGTATCATTTCCTCTGCTGTTTTATAACCGGGCGCTAAATCTGCCAAGGATAATTGAAGATTGATTTTATTAACCATAAATAAACAATGAAACCAGAGAGCCGGCTGCGGAGCCGGATTGATGGTTATTAAATAGAAAATGGATCAAGGAATACACAAGCTTACACCGAACCGTTAAAGACTTTGAAATAAAGTTTGCTTGTCTTTATCAATATGCTAATCGGCTGTCCTCATACGACTCATATTTAGCCATATTGTCCAATTATATTTCATCAATTACAAGTTTATTATTGCACGGCAGAAGCAAAAGACCCGCGTGTGTGATGATTATAATGATATTCTAATATTAAACACGATACGGAGAGCGTCCGGACCAGTCACACTCACACACGTGAGGACAATAGCACCATTAGAACAAATAATTAGAGGGGCATGAAAAGACATTTTCTGTAGCTTTAATTGATTCTGTAAGTTTCTCTCTCTCTCTCTCTTGTGTTTCCGAAAAATATTGTGATCACTTTTCCCCTACTTTTGTCGAATGTATTTTCAGTGCAAAGCAACTTTAATCAGAGGTTGGTGTCAATAGGTACGCAGTTAAATAGTTTAATTATCAAAATAAAAATAAAAAAATAAAAAAATACAATAATGATATTTCTGTGAGTGAGTGTACACGGCTGACCAAATGCACATCTACAGCAAGTTAAAGCTAAATGAAACGTCACTCCAGAATATTTTTCAAACACACAAATTCAAGTATAGTTTCGTAAATCGAATCGCTTCGCTTAAACATTTTTTATTTTATTTAAAAAATATTTCAGTAATTCATTTATTTATTTATTTTACAATTTTAATAAAGAACAGCTACAGATCATAACAACATTTTTTAATGACAGAAATTAGTTATCGCAAACAAATTAATATCCTATAGTCTGACGACTATACTTTTGGTCACAAAATTAAAGGTCACATCCTTTAAGAACACGGCACTAAATACATTGACTGTAAAATAATGACGGTCATACAATACTCTATTTAGAAATGAATTACATATATTTTCTAAGGTATTAAATGAATATTATGTTGAATAATGAATGCGAACGAGGTTGTATTCTCATATGGGTACATTCCAAACGTAATGCGGAACGAACGCACCGATCTCAAACTACCCTTTATCCGCCGGGAACCGTGCTCTATCCTATATTTGTGAAGATAATTCAACGTCAATCTTCGTCCATTTCAATGTCTACAATTAAGTTAATTAAGGTTAAACATGTCTTGACATTTTCAGCTTGTCAATCAATTAAACGTTTCTTGGTTTTGCCTTCTGAAAGAACTCTAAATTAAATATCACTACAACAGAGAGTAAATCAACCCAATCAACGTCTGCAGCATTGTGTTATTGGCGGTACAAGATGCCTCGGGATACCTCATTATTTATCATAGGCGCAATGGTAGAGAGGCTCCATCGGAAGCGCGAGTTGGCCTCTATTTGAGGACTCTGTATCGGTGTACGGAACTCGGTATACACACTGCTATTCCCAGGGAACGAAAGGTTCTCTGACATCGCTGTAGCTCTAATGGTGGAACATTAGCAAAGCGCCTTTGCCCACGGTCGAGCTTGCAATTACTTCACTTAATCATACGAAATTTGTCTCGGCCATTACTAACACAATGGGATGGAGTTTCGTGACGAAGTTTGAAATAATTTTGTTGAAATTTGGTATGATACATTTGCCCCCGGTATTTCCTTTGACATTTCCAAACAATCAATACGGTTGTAAATTTCAATAATTACCAGCGTTTATATGTATGGAAAATGGCATACGGTGGACTCAGTCACATGGTAGCTGTGGGAAATGGCGGACAATCAGATCGCGGATGAATACAAAAACTGTTTGATGTGAAATGTCAAATGATGTATTTGGCAACAGGTTCCGGAGAGTTTGGCATCTGCTGCCTACAAATTGCAGCTAAATAGAAACAAACTAGAAAGATTGTACCCCAGACCGTCAATTGTTTGATTATACATGTTAGAATCATTCCTATAATAGTACAATTACGTGGAAATAATATTTCCCTTTTCCCCTTTCGAGTGCTATGTCAACTAATTCTGATGGTCTCGCTTGTCATCACAGTATCGCAGTCAAAACAGGGGAGGTGCAAAGTGCATGGATAGACAGCGTGGGACAGGGGTCCCGAGGGAGGGACCAGGGTCATCAGTAGAGAGCAAAGGATACATGTGGGAAGCGATAGCATTGACGAATACAAGATTTATCAAAGGTAGGGACACAAGTCAAGAATATGTCTAGTAACATGCAAAAATAAAAAATAAAAATCAGTCTTATAGGAAGAGGTGCAGGCCTTCCTCCTCTAAATCTATCAATTGACAGAAAAAGGGTTAAACATAGGAAGACACAGAAGAAAAAGACAAAGGACAAAACAATGAGACAGTGTGAAGTAGACTGAATGAGGGGAAGAAACATGGAGGATCGGTGGGAAGGACAAACGACTGGGAAGGGAAAAGATAGGTAAGGGACAAAGCTAGGGAAAGGACAAAAATAGAGAAGGAACAAAGAAAGGGAAAAACAAAGGCATAGAGAATGGGCAAAATAGGGAAGGGACAATGCCAGGAAAGGAACAAGTTAGGAAGAAATAAAGGTATGGAGGAGATAAAGATAGGGGAGTACAAAAGCCTGGGAATACACGAAGGAAAGTAAGGAAGAAACAAAGATAACGAAGGGACAATGGTGGTCAGTCGGGAAAAGATATGAAGGAACGAAGAACGGTAAGAAACAAAGATAGGAAAGGGACAAAAATAGGAAAGGGACAAAAATAGGAGAGGGACAGGAGATGGTCAGTTGTTAACAGATATGAGATGAGAAAGTAACAATGGGTGGGTGTGGAAATACGATAACCGAAGTGAGCCATGTACTGACAACGATAGAAGTGGTATAGTTGTGCATGCAACACTAGACAAAGTGACATGTCAAGTTGACACATTTCTCAAGGTCGGTTTCCGAAAAGAACTCTGCTTGTTTTATCTGGGAGACACTGGGTATTGAAGAAAGCATCACTATTTAATATGTATCAAACTACGTCTTGGTGAAGTCCTTTAGTAATACCGTCGTTAAAACGTGTTAATACTAGGAAATTGATTTAATTTCAAAGTAACACACACTTGCCCAGAAGGTAGACCTAAACAACAGCTACAGTCCAAGGTCACACGCGCAATCGCAATGTGCCACTAAAACGTTCCTCATAATTGTTTCCGATAACAATTGTATACACTA